GAGTAATATCTAGTTTCCTTCCTTTTTTTTCTAAATATTTACTAATCAAAATGTACAAAGGTTTATAACTTCATTGATACAATCATGACTGTAACTAAGGGAGTTCTGTGTACAAAAATTTCTAAGTCAACATGGGTGACTAGCGGCCTAACTACAAAAAAAAAAAAAAAAAAAAAAACGTAAGTCCAAATAGTGCCTAGCCGTTTAGCTCGTCATTTCCCCGGGCTCCCCATGCATCGGGTCTCACTACCTGAAATGGTAGACAAGAAAAATAGTGAGATAAAATATCTCAGTAAGTAAATATTGATGCCCGTGATCAAAATTTAAAGCATGTCGAATAAACCATCTAAATATAAGCAGAGCGTCTCAATAATAAACCATTAATGCAGAATAAAATTAAGTAGTGGTCTCCTTTATTAGTCATGACCAGTGTTATAAACCTCTCACTGGCAGGCACACGATTACTAGTGTATAATCCCACTAGTAGGATAACACAAGCGAACCGATTCTATCAGTAAACATGTCGACATGTGCTAACGTTTATTAACCTCCCACTTGCGGGCACACGAATAACATGACTATATCAGAGACAAAACCAAGTAAGATTTACAAAAAATTCCACGATTCACAATCATTTTCACTTTCAAGAATAAACCGAAGAAATCTCATGTGGGCATGCTCAATTCTAGAAAATAAGGAAAATGATAAAAGTTCAATTTCCATTTAATCATGCTCAAATGCAAATAAACCCATTTAAACCTTGCCACCATCTCAAAAACAAGCTAAAATATGCTTTAAAATTTAAGGGTATTACCATAATTTACTTATCTTAATCACACAGTACAAAAGCCTTAACTAAGTGCTAGGGTCACAGGACGATCAAGAACCTAATCACAATATTTCCGAATTAATATCTATAAGAAAATTTTATTTATTTTATTTATTTTTTTATTTTTCTCCTATCCGAAATTTGAGCACACAACAGTAGATTGCGCATATATATATACATAGCTACACATATACAATTTTTCCAAATTCATGGACAGGAAATGGGAGAATCGGTTTTGACAAAAATGGGCAAGTCACGGAATTTTCCTCTTTTTCTTTCATACAACATCACAGCAGCCCAATTAAAGGATTTCCTACATAATTAGACTTAAAAACTCATTTCATGGCTGCCAAAATTCATCCCCCACTTCCAGCAGATTTTCGGACAACCCAAGCACCCATACAACCAATTAAGCTCAACAAGGTAGCAATTAATCAACCAACTTTCGGAAATTAGAGAAGCCAACCTACCAGAAATCCTCAGCAAGCAAGGCTGGAGCTGGCGAGTATGGGGAAGAGCTAGCGGAAAAATTGGAGGCTTTCGTGGGGACTACTAGCAATTGAAAGAAATGAAAATTAGAGTGAACCCACATACATCAAGGCTGAAAAGAGGAGTTTCATGGCTAATTTTTACTAGGAAAACCGAAGCTCACACCCAGCAGCAACCGGCGGCAGGGGAGGAAGAAGACAGCAGATTTGGGGAATTTTCTGCAAGGGGGAAGATTTCTAAGTCCTAGACTTGTTCTTGAACAAGAAGAGAACAAAAAGCATCAAGTTCTCTTACCAATTTCTCAAGTGGAGGCGTCGGTGATGGCTGGGCTCATTTCTGGCTGCAGGGGAGAAAAAGAGATAGAGCAGACACACGAAAATGGCTAGGGAAGAAGGAGAGAAAGAAAAAAAAGAAAAAAGAAAAAAGTCAGCCGGCCTTATCCAAAAATCTTTTGAACCCCTTGGAATTTGAAAATTTGACTCTTAGGTCCATTAATAACGTTTCCTCACCATGAAGTCCTTAATTCAACTTCAATGTTCTTGAAACTTTTGGGGTATTACATCCACCCCTCCTAAAAAGGAGTTTAGTCCCCTAAACTCATACCTCAATCTTGGAAAAGGTGCGGATGTTCCTGCCTCATCTTGGATTCGAACTCCCAAGTAGCTTCTTCAACCGAATGGTTATCTCAGAGGACCTTAACAAAACGAATGGTCCTTCTCTGCATTATCCTCTCCTTGAAATCTAAAATGCGGATCGGGTGCTCATCGTAAGTGAGATCCTCTCGGAGTTGAATTGGTTCGGGATTAATGATGTGACTCGAGTTGGGAACATACTTCCAAAGTAAGGACACGTGAAACACATCATGCAGACCCGCTAAATTTCCAAGCAACTCCAATCTATAAGCTACCTTGCCAATCCTTTCCAAGATAGGATATGGTCCAATATACCTCGGACTCAATTTTCCCCGGATGCCAAACCTGAGGACACCTTGAGTGGGTGACACCTTCAAAAATACATGGTCACCAACTTCAAACTCAAGGTCTCGTCTCCTTCTATCCGCATAGCTTTGCTGCCTGCTTTGTGCAGCACGAAGGTGTTCCTTAATCAACTACACAATCTCAGAAGATTGTTGCACCAATTCTGGGCCTAAAATGCTCCTTTCGCCGACTTCCGTCCAACAAACAGGTGATCTACACCTTCGACCATACAAAGCCTCAAATAGTGCCATGCAGATGCTAGATTGATAACTATTATTATATGCAAACTCAGCCATGGATAAGTGTTGATCCCACGAACCCTTCCAATCTAGAACACAAGCCCTCAACATGTCCTCAAGTATCTGAATAGTTCTCTCAGATTGCCCATCAGTCTAAGGATGGAAAGCCGTGCTGAAATTTAATTGAGTACCAAGTGCCTGCTGCAAGCTTGTCCAGAAATGAGATAGAAATCTGGTATCTCTATCCGACACAATAGACACAGGGACTCCATGCAGCTTGACTATCTCATCCATATACATATTGGCAAGCTTCTCAATGGAAGTGCCAGTCTGGTAGGGTAAGAAGTGAGTTGATTTGGTCAATCGATCAACGATGACCCATATGGAATCATTACCCTTTAAGGTTCGTGGTAAACCAGTCACAAAGTCCATGGTGATGTTTTCCCACTTCCACTGGGGAATAGGTAAAGGCTGCAATTTCCCAGGAAGTCTTTGGTGTTCGGCCTTGACTTTTTGGCAAGTCAGGCATTGTGAGACAAATCTAGCTATCTCTCTCTTCATGTTCCGCCACCAAAATGTACTACACAAATCACAATACATCTTGGTGCCATCTGGGTGAATTGTATAGCTAGTATAATAGGCATCTCCCATAATCTCACGCCTTAAAGCATGATCTCTTAGTACACACAACCTGTCACCAAACCACAGAGTCTCATCATCAAAAATTCTGAATTCTTGCATGTGGGGTTCCCCAACTCTTATTTTTTTCCTTCATCTTCTGTAAGAAGGGATCTTTTTGTTGGCCAAGTTTAATTCTATCTATTAATGCTGGTTGTGCACTAAGAGTAGCTAGATAAGCCGTAGTACTATCCACTCTCAACTCCACATCCAGTTTTACAAGATCCTCAAGTAACTCCTTTTGAGTGGCAAGGATGCTAGAGGCAGCGCCAGAGGACTTCCTACTCAACGCATCTGCTACTTTGTTAGCTTTGCTCGAATGGTAGCTAATGGTCAAGTCATAGTCCTTTAAAAGTTCAAGCCATCACCTCTGCCTCATATTAAGCTCCTTTTGAGTGAAAATATACTTAAGGCTCTTGTGATCGATGAAGATTTCACAAGTCTCACCATACAGATAATGCCTCTAGATCTTGAGTGCAAATATCACAGCTGCCAATTCCAGATCATGGGTAGGGTAATTTTCTTCATAAGGCTTTAACTGCCGAGAAGCATATGCAATAATCCTATCTTTTTGCATCAAGACACATCCCAAACCCTTTTTAGAGGTATCACTATATATAGTGAATCCTTCCCCATTGATTGGGAGTGCAAGTATAGGAGTAGTGACCAACTTCTCCTTAAGGGTCAAAAAGCTCTTCTCACACTCTGGAGTCCACTTAAACTTGGTGTCCTTCTTGATAAGACGAGTCATTGGCAACGCAATTCTAGAGAAATCCCCCACAAATCGGCGGTAATAACCAGCCAATCCCAGAAAACTACGGATTTCTGCAACACTATTCGGCCTTTTCCAATCAACCACGGCCTCAATCTTCTGGGGATCAACCGAGATTCCATCCTTAGTGACAACGTGACTTAGGAATGCAACATTGTCTAGCCAAAATTCACACTTCTTAAATTTAGCAAACAGCTTCTCACTTCTCAATGTCTCGAGGACTGTCCTTAAGTGCTTTTCATGAAGAGTATGGCTAGAAGAGTAGATCAGGATGTCATCAATGAAGACAACCACAAACTTATATAGGTACTTACTAAACACCCGATTCATCAAATCCATAAATCTGGCAGGGGCATTTGTCAAGCCAAATGGCATGAGTATGAATTCATAATGACCATAACGGGTACGGAAGGCAGTCTTTGGCACATCATCAGGTTTAATCTTCAAATGGTGGTAACCAGATCAAAGATCAATCTTAGAAAATACTTGGGCACCCTTGAGCTGGTCAAACAAGTCATCAATTCTAGGAAGGGGATACCAGTTCTTCACAGTCACCTTATTCAATTCCCGGTAATCAATGCATAGCCTCATGCTCCCATCCTTCTTCTTAACGAACAACACTGGAGCTCCCCAAGGTGACACACTAAGGTGTATAAACCCTTTTTCAAGGAGTTCCTCCAGCTGGACCTTTAACTCCAATTCTACAGGAGCCATACGGTATGGTGCTTTGGAAAAAGGTCCGATGCCAGGAACAAGGTCAATAGCAAATTCAAGCTCCCTATCCGGAGGTAAACCTGGGAGATCCTTCGAAAATACATTTGGAAACTCACGCACCACCGGTATGTCTTCTAGTCTCGATGTCACACTACTAGCATCAGTGACGGAAACTAGGAAACCCTGGCAACCATTTACAAGATATTTTTGAGCCTGCAAGGCAGATATTAGCATGGGTGGAGCAAAAGAACCACTGCCTTGGAAACTAAATTCTGGCTCACCAGGGATATTAAAAATTACCCATTTCCGATGGCAATCTATAGAGGCAAAATGTTTTGACAACCAATCCATCCCCAAAATGATATCAAAATCAGAGATATCTAAAACAAACAAGCTAGCACTCAACTGTCTACCATCCATGTAAGTATCCACAGTCCTACACACCTCCCTAGTAGTCATCACCCCTCCTAAAGGGGTGTCCACATGCAGTTTAAGATCAGAGGTATCAATAGGCAAAGCTCGTTTCAAAGCATAAGATCGGGCAATAAAGGAGTGCGATGCACCCGAATCAAATAAAACATGTGCATAATCAGAGTTAACAGGTAAGGTACCTGTGATTACGTCGGTAGCCGCAGCTTCCTTGTGAGTCATCACTTTCACTCTTGCCTATTGGGCTTTTGTCCTAACCCCGGTACTCTGTTTCTGTGCCCCTTGACTGGTAGAACTCTACGGAGAGGTAGGTTGAGTACTCTGAGCTTTGGGGTCTAGCAGTGGACAATTTGCAATCCGATGTCCCTGCTTGCCACATTTGAAGCAAGCCCCAGTAACGGTGTGGCACTGATCTTGGGTGTGCCTAACCTTCCCACAAACGTGGCAAGTAAGCTGAGTAGGACGAGCACGTTGGGCCGTTGATGCCTAGCTCACAATCTTGGTGGCTCCTAGCCCTTTAGAACCCTTGTTGACCTCAGACTTAGGTGGTGCAAGGACAAGGGACCTACGGCTCCCATCAAATTTTCTCTTCCCAAGGGATGACCTAGCATTGTGCTGTCTTGAGGACTTGACTCTAGCCATAGCCTTTTCTTGATCTATGGCTCTGTCCGCAGCCTCTCTATAAGTGGCGGGTTTGAATTGATTCACTGTTAGATAAATATCGCGATTCAAGCCCCATAAAAATTTATCAGCCTTGGCTAGCTCATCCCCAACCTGACTACCCACAAAAGGCAGATAGCGGTCAAACTCCTTCTTGTATTGCTCAACAGTACCCGACCCTAAATTTAGATCTGAAAATTCCCTTTGCAGTTCCCACCTTTTGCTATCTGGTATGTACTCTTGCATGAACACCTTTTTAAAGCCATCCCAGGTGCTCAATTCAAGCTCTCCTTGGTGTAGCTTCAGATAATTCTCCCACCAAGTTAATGCTTCACTAGTAAGCATATAACTGCCTATATCGACCTTAAGGTTGTTAACAATCTTCAGTAGGCGGAATCCCCGCTTCACCTCGGTAATCCACTACCCCACCTGCTCAAAACCCGCGGTACCATCGAATCTCTTGGTCACCACCTTCTGGAATTCTGTATAGACCTTCCAGCTAGACACCGCAAGAGCAAAAGAAATAGGAACAGGGGAAATTGGAGCAGGGGTCGTAGGAGTGGAAACCACTGGGGATGGAGGTGGCACACTTGTGGTAGGAGATGCTTGGCGTCTTATCTCTGCCATAAGTTCCTGAACAAAAGTGGCTATCTGAGGATTACTCGTCCTTCCCTCTTGTGGAGCAGCTTGGGCAGGGGGACTAGCATCTGGGATCGGAGGAGTGCCCTGATCCTTACGACCACCCCTTGGGCGCCCACGCCATTTTGGGGCCGTCTATAATCACATAGAAGGTTTATAGACTATTAATCAAATGCTCCAACGAGAAATTTCCTGGCAAGTTTCCACTTCCGGGACCAAGCAACACAAAAATATTAAAACAAAGGAAACCAACACACATTAAGGAAAGAATCAAGCAAGCGCCTTTAATCAACCCCACTCTCATGCCTCACCACGTTCCTATCATTCATTTGCTAGCCAAGTTCTAGACTAATCCTAGGCACTTAATTAAACCTAGGCTTTGATACCACAAAATCTGTCACGCCCCAAAACCAAGAGCGAAACAGACGCCATGCACTCGGGAACGGGTCCCACAAATGCATAAGGCTTGAAACTTACTGAGTTCATAATTACTAATTCAGATTTAGAAACTCGGGTAATATCTAGTTTCCTTCCTTTTTTTTCTAAATATTTACTAGTCAAAATGTACAAAGGTTTATAACCTCATTTATACAATCATGACTGTAACTAAGGGAGCTCTGTGCACAAAAATTTCTAAGTCAACATGGGTGACTAGCGGCCTAACTACAAAAAAAAAAAACCTAAGTCCAAATAGTGCCTAGCCCTCTAGCTCGTCACTCCCTTGAGCTCCCTATGCGTCAGGTCTCACTACCTGAAATGGTGGACAAGGAAAACTGTGAGATAAAATATCTCAGTAAGTAAATATGGATGCTCGAGATCAAAATTTAAAGCATGCCAAATAAACCATCTAAACATAAGCAGAGCATCTCAATAATAAACCATTAATGCAGAATAAAATTAAGTAGTGGTCTCCTCTATTAGTCATGACCAGTGTTATAAACCTCCCACTGGCAGACACACGATTACTAGTGTATAATCCCACTAGCAGGATAACATGAGCGAACCGGTTCTATCAGTAAACATGTCGACATGTGCTAGCGTTTATAAACCTCCCACTAGCGGGCACACGAATAACATGACCATATCGGAGACAAAACCAAGCAAGATTTACAAAAAATTCCACGATTCACAATCATTCTCACTTTCAAGAATAAATTGAAGAAATTTCATGTAGGCATGCTCAATTCTAGAAAATAAGGAAAATGATAAACGTTCAATTTCCATTTAATCATGCTCAAATGCAAATAAACCCATTTAAACCTTGCCACCATCTCAAAAACAAGTTAAAATATGCTTTAAAATTTAAGAGCATTACCATAATTTACTTACCTTAATCGCACAGGACAGAAGGCTTAACCAAGTGCTAGGGTCACAGGTAGGGATGTCAACGGGGCCCCGCGGGGTCGGGGACTCCTTCCCCATCCTCGTCCCCGCAAATGACGGGGACGGGGATCCCCGAGGGGATTTTTGACGAGGGGCAAATTTTGCCCCCCATCCCCATTCCCTGCAGGGAACGGGGATTCCCGCGGGGATCCCCATTCCTCGCCAATTAACATCAAAATACATATTTTTTACATAAAAAATAAGTAAAAATTAATGAGGTGTGCATCAAACATATAGTGAGTGAGGATGATGGGATACTGCAGCTTCGACAGCAACTCTAGGCTTCAGCAGCAGATTGACAGCAACTCCAGGCTCCAGCAGCAGATCGACAGCAGTTTCAATAGCAGATCTCTAGCAGCAGCAGCAAATCTGTAGCAGCAGTAGCAGCAGATTTGTAGCAGCAGCAGATTTGTAGCAGCAGCAGTAGCAGATTTGTAGCAGCAGCAGCAGATCTGTAGTAGCAGTAGCAGCAGCAGCAGATTTGTAGCAGCAGCAGTAGCAGATTTGTAGCAGCAACAGCAGATCTGTAGTAGTAGAAGCCAAAAAGGAAGGGGAAAGTCGAAGGTGAGGTTGTGAGAATGAGTGAGGAAGAACCGCAGAAGCAAGAAGGGGAGGCCTATGAGGTGTGCTACATGAGTGAGAAAGGGAAATGAATAGGGTTAGGAAATTAGGGTTGGAAAGAGGATGATGGGTTGTGTTGAGGTGGGTTGGGTTGGGTAAAGTTTAATTTTTATTGAATTGGGTTTGGGTTTGGGTTTGGGTTTGGGTTTAATTTTAAAAATTAAATTAAATTTAAAATATAATTAATTTATATACATTTTTTACATTTTTCGCAGGGATGGGATCCCGCGGGGCTCCACAGGGCGAGGAAAATTCCCCGTGAAATTTCGCAGGGAAAAAATGTCTCCCATCCCCACCTCACGGGGAGGAATATTCCTCCCTGCCCCGTCCCTGTAATGAGATCCCCACGGGGCCCCGTGGGGATCGGGGCAAATTGCCACCCCCTAATCACAGGACGATCAACAAACCTAATCACAATATTTCTAAATTAATATCTATAAGGAAATTTTATTTCTTTATTTATTTTTTTATTTTTCTCCTATCCGAAATTTGAGCACACAATAGTAGATTGCGCATATATATATATATATATATACATAGCTACACATATACAATTTTTCCAAATTCATGGACAGGAAATGGGAGAACCGGTTTTGACAAAAATGGGCAAGTCACGGAATTTTCCTCTTTTTCTTTCATACAACATCACAGCAGCTCAATTAAAGGATTTCCTACATAATTAGACTTAAAAACTCATTTCATGGCTGCCAAAATTCATCCCCCACTTCCAGCAGATTTTCGGACAACCCAAGCACCCATACAACCAATTAAGCTCAACAAGGTAGTAATTAATCAACCAATTTTTCAGAAATTAGAGAAGCCAACCTACCAGAAATCCTCAGCAAGCAAGGCTGGAGCTGGCGGGTATGGGGAAGAGCTGGCGAAAAAATTGGAGGCTTTCGCGGGGACTACTAACAATTGAAAGAAATGAAAATTAGAGTGAACCCACATACATCAAGGCTGAAAAGAGGAGTTTCATGGCTGATTTTTACCAGGAAAACCGAAGCTCACACCCAGCAGCAACCGGCGGCAGGGGAGGAAGAAGACAGCGGATCTGGGGAATTTTCTGCAAGGGGGAAGATTTCTAAGTCCTAGACTTGTTCTTGAACAAGAAGAGAACAAAAATCATCAAGTTCTCTTACCAATTTCTCAGGTGGAGGCGTCAGTGATGGCTAGGCTCATTTCCGGCTGAAGGGGAGAAAAAGAGACAGAGCAGACACGCGAAAATGGCTGGGGAAGAAGGAGAGAAAGAAAAAAAGAAAAAAAAAAAGTTGGCTGGCCTTATCCAAAAATCTTTTGAACCCCTTGGAATTTGAAAATTTGACTATTAGGTCCATTAATAACGTTTCCTCACCATTAAGTCCCTAACTCAACTTCAATGTTCTTGAAACTATTGGGGTATTATAGAAAGATAAAAAATAACCTCCGTTCTCATACCCGTGGAGAATGATAGGTTTTTGCGGTATTTGGAGTCCCCACCAAATAAAACATAATGCTCGTTTCTCGTTTGAGAAATTAACTGAAGATAAAACGAATTAAGAGTTTGAATGAGTTTCAAAATAACAATACGATTATTGTTCGCTGCAAATGCGAGAAAGAAGCTGCGTAGGCATGTAACCAACGAAAATCACATTCTAACAATCTTGCGAACAATCGGAGGGAAAATGAAATCAGAAATAATAAGGCCAAAAGAATGAGATATGCTTTACCTCAAAATAAATCATCAAGCACAGATACTCACAAAGACTCACAATTCAGGCTTAGGCAAGCTACAAGTAGCCGATTGAAGAATAGAAACAAAGCTATGGGCACTACCTTTCGAAGGTTGCCGAGAATAATAGGTTGAAAGGAATTGATTGATTGAAGAACAGAAACAAAGGCAGTGAGCTACAGCATAGAAGAGAGGAGACTGGAGTCTGGAGAAGAGAAAATCTCATAAATTTGAAATAGTCCTTCTAGTTCTAGGGTTACTAGTAAATTGGGTTGGGTTTGGGCAATTAAGTTTAAGAAGATTATGAGTTGGACTGGACTATATAATTGGGTTTGGAAAAACTGAAAAAGAAAAAAGAGGATTGGTCAATTAATTAGGTTGAGTAAGTAAAAATTAATTGTTAATAAATTTAAAAAAATATATAAATAAATTTATTTATTTTTTTATTTTATATGGGTCTTCACGACTCCCCATAGGACGTAGAAAATTTCCCACAAAATTTTACGGAAAAAAAAATGCCTCCATGCCCGCCCACGAGGAGAAATATTCTTAAAATCTCCATCCACATGATGGAGAAATCCATGAAATTCTACGGGACGCGAAGAAAATTGTCATTCCTAGGTCAGCCTAGTAACTGATTAGTTGTAAAAGTC